GCGTGTGACGGGTGCGCCAAAGTGGGATGGCGGCAGCACGCGGGCGCTGCCACTGGGGCCTTCGGTGGAGTTTCCTGGAAGGCCTTCGGCACGCCTCCCCGCGTCCGTGATCTGTTCGACGGTGGGGCACGAGGAAAGCTAGACCGTCCAAGATGGCCCTTCCCATCTTTTTCTCCCTCTTTGCCCGCGCACTACAATGGCTGCGGGCGCAACGCAGCGCGGAGCCCCCGCGACGCGCGCCGGTCGCCCCGAAGGGCCGCAGGGCTCCCAGCGACGCGCGCGGGTCGCCCGCGGCTCGGAGCAAAGAAAGCTAGCTGGCTGGCTGCTAGCAGGCAAGGCTCCGGCCGCTGGGCAGAGCGACGACGGGCGAGCGAGGCGCTTGGCAGAGCGCAGCACGGAGTTCCCGCGACGCGTGCTGGTCGCCCCGAGAAGACTCCAGCGACACGCGCCGGTCGCCTGAGGCGCGAGGCCAAAAGGATGGACAATCGAGACAAGGCACTGCTCGGGCGGGCCAGCTCCCCAGGTCTGGCCTCACGGATAAGCTCGGTGAAACCTAGCTCCCTGCCGAGGGCCGCCGCCTCCCTCCTGCACCGCTTCGTGCGCGCCGCAAACAGCTCCAGCTGTTTCCTCAAGCCTTCCGGCGGCCTGGGGCCTCCGGCCAAGATCCCTACGGGGCCACGAAACGTGCGAGGGGTGTGACGAACTGGGCATGTGGGCGGGGAGGGCGCATGTGGACGATGCCACTGGGGCCTTCGGTGGAGCTCCTTATGCAGCCACGAAACGTGCGGAGGGTGTACCGACATGTACATGCGGTGGGCGGGGAGGGCGAACGTGGACGCTGCCGCCGAGGCCTTCGGTGGAGCTCCCTATAGGACCAGAGAATATGTGAGTGGGGTGCCAACATGGGCATGCAGTGGGCGGGGAGGGCGCGTGTGGACGCTGCCACTGGGGCCTTCGGTGGAGCTCCCGATGGGGCCACGAACCGTGTGAGGGGTGTGCCGACATGTACATGTGGTGGGCGGGGAGGGCGAATGTGGACTCTGCCGCTGGGACCTTAGGTGGAGCTCCCTATAGGTCTACGAACCGTGTGAGGGGTGTGCCGACATGGGCATGCGGTGGGCGGGGACGGCGCATGTTGACGCTGCCACTGGGGCCTTCGGTGGAGCTCGCTATAATGCCACGAAGCGTGTGAGGGGCGTGCCGAAATGGTCATGCGGTGGGCTGGGAGGGCGCATGTGGACGCTGCCGCCGGGGTCTTCGGTGGAGCTCCCTATAGGGCCACGAACCGTGTGAGGGGTGTGCCGAAATGGGCATGCGGTGGGCGGGGACGGCGCATGTGGACGCTGCCGCTGGGGTCTTCGGTGGAGCTCCCTATAGGGCCACGAACCGTGTGAGGGGTGTGCCGAAATGGGCATGCGGTGGGCGGGGAGGGCGCATGTGGACGCTGCCACTGGGGCCTTCGGTGGAGCTCCCTATGGTGCCTCGAAACGTGTGAGGGGTGTGCCGAAATGGGCATGCGGTGGTTGGGGAGGACGCATGTGGACGCTGCCGCCGGGGTCTTCGGTGGAGCTCCCTATAGGGCTACGAACCGTGTGCGGGGTGTGCCGAAATGGGCATGCGGTAGTTGGGGAGGGCGCATGTGGATGCTGCCACTGGGGCCTTCGGTGGAGCTCCCGATGGGACCACGAAACGTGTGAGGGGTGTGCCGAAACAGGCATGCGGTGGGCGGGGAGGGCGCATGTGGATGCTGCCACTAAGGCCTTTGGTGGAGCTCCCTATGGGGCCACGAAACGTGTGAGGGGTGTGCCCACATGGGCATGCGGTGGGCGGGGAGGGCGCATGTGGATGCTGCAGCTGGGACCTTCGAAGGAGCTCCCTATGGGGCCACGATCCGTGTGAGGGGTGTGCCGAAATGGGCATGCGGTGGGCTGGGAGGGCGAATGTGGACGCTGCCACTGGGGCCTTCGGTGGAGCTCCCTATGGGGCCACGAAACGTGTTAGGGATGTGCCGACATGTGCATGCGGTGGGCGGGGACGGCGCATGTGGACGCTGCCACTGGGGCCTTCGGTGGAACTCCCTAAGGGACCACGAAACGTGTGAGGGGCGTGCCGACATGAGTATGCGGTGGGCGGGAGGGCGCATGTGGACGCTGCCGCCGGTGTCTTCGGTGGAGCTCCCTATAGGACCACGAACCGTGTGAGGGTTGTGCCGAAATGGGCATGCGGTGGGCGGGGACGGCGCATGTGGACGCTGTCGCTGGGGTCTTCGGTGGAGCTCCCTATAGGGCCCCGAACCGTGTGAGCGGTGTGCCGAAATGGGCATGCGGTGGGCGGGGACGGCGCATGTGGACGCTGCCGCTGGGGTCTTCGGTGGAGCTTCCTATAGGGCCACGAAACGTGTGAGGGGTGTGCCCACATGGGCATGCGGTGGGTGGGGAGGGCGCATGTGGACGCTGCCGCCGGGGTCTTCGGTGGAGCTCCCTATAGGGCCACGAACCGTGTGCGGGGTGTGCCAAAATGGGCATGCGGTGGGCGGGGAGGGCGAATGTGGACGCTGCCACCAGGGCCTTCGGTGGAGCTCCCGATGGGGCCACGAAACGTGTGAGGGGTGTGCCGACATGGGCATGCGGTGGGCGGGGAGGACGAATGTGGACGCTGCTACTGAGGCCTTCGGTGGAGCTCCCTATATGGCCACGAAACGTGTGAGGGGTGTGCCGAAATGGGCATGCAGTGGGCGGGGAGGGCGAATGTGGACGCTGCCACTGGGGCCTTCGGTGGAGCTCCCTATAGGGCCACGAACCGTGTGAGGGGTTTGCCGAAATGGTCATGCGGTGGGCGGGGAGGGCGCATGTGGACGCTGCCACTGGGGCCTTCGGTGGAGCTCCCTATGGGGCCACGAAATGTGCGAGGGGCGTGCCGAAATGGGCATGCGGTGGGCGGAGAGGACGCATGTGGACGCTGCCGCTGGGGTCTTCGGCGGAGCTCCCTATAGGGCCACGAACCGCGTGAGGGGTGTGCCGACATGGGCATGCGGTGGGCGGAGAGGGCGCATGTGGGCGCTGCCACTGGGGTCTTCGGAGGAGCTCCCTATATGGCCACGAGACGTGTGAGGGGTGTGCCCACATGGGCATGCGGTGGGCGGGGAGGGCGCATGTGGACGCTGTCGCTGGGGTCTTCGGTGGAGCTCCCTCCCGATAGGGCCACGAACCGTGTGAAGGGTGTGCCGAAGTTGGCATGCGGTGGGCGGGGAGGGCGCATGTGGACGCTGCCACTGGGCCCTTCGGTGGAGCTCCCGATGGGGCCACGAAACGTGTAAGGGGTGTGCCGACATGGGCATGCGGTGGGCGGGGAGGGGGGGCCCCCCCCCCGGGCATGTGGACGCTGCCACTGGGGCCTTCGGTGGAGCTCCCTATGGGGCCACGAAACGTGTGAGGGGTGTGCTGGCATGGGTATGCGGAGGGCGGGGAGGACGAATGTGGACGCTGCCGCTGGGGTCTTCGGTGGAGCTCCCTATGGGGCCACGAAACGTGTGAGGGGTGTGCCGAAATGGGCAAGCGGTGGCTGGGAGTATTCATGTGGACGCTGCCGCTGGGGTCTTTCGGTGGAGCTCCCTATATGGCCACGAAACGTGTGAGGGGTGTGCCCACATGGGCATGCGGTGGGCGGGGAGGGCGCATCTGGCCGCTGCCGCTGGGGTCTTCGGTGGAGCTCCCTATAGGGCCACGAAACGTGGGAGAGGTGTGCCGAAATGGGCATGCGGTGGGCGGGGAGGGCGCATGTGGGCGCTGGGCCATGGGGCCTTCCCGTGGAGCTCCCTATGGGGCCACGAAACGTGTGAGGGGTTTGCCGACATGGGCATGCGGTGGGCGGGGAGGGCGCATGTGGACGCTGCCGCTGGGGTCTTCGGTGGAGGTGGAGCTCCCTATGGGGCCACGAAACGTGTGAGGGGTGTGCCGACATGGGCATGCGGTGGGCGGGGACGGCGCATGTGGACGCTGCCACTGGGGCCTTCGGTGGAGCTCCCGATGGGGCCACGAAACGTGTGAGGGGTGTGCCGACATGGGCATGCGGTGGGCGGGTAGGGCGCATGTGGCGTGCCACTGGGGCCTTGCGGCGGAGCTCCGTACGATGGGGCCACTGAAACGTGTGAGGGGTGTGCCGACATGGGCATGCGGTGGGGCGGGGAGGGCGCATGTGGACGCTGCCACTGGGGCATTCGGTGGAGCTCCCTATGGGGCCACGAAACGTGTGAGGGGTGTGCCGACATGGGCATGCGGTGGGCGGGGAGGGCGCATGTGGACGCTGCCACTGGGGCATTCGGTGGAGCTCCCTATGGGGCCACGAAACGTGTGAGGGGTGTGCCGACATGGGCATGCGGTGGGCGGGGAGGGCGCATGTGGACGCTGCCACTGGGGCATTCGGTGGAGCTCCCTATGGGGCCACGAAACGTGTGAGGGGTGTGCCGACATGGGCATGCGGTGGGCGGGGAGGGCGCATGTGGACGCTGCCACTGGGGCATTCGGTGGAGCTCCCTATGGGGCCACGAAACGTGTGAGGGGTGTGCCGACATGGGCATGCGGTGGGCGGGGAGGGCGCATGTGGACGCTGCCACTGGGGCATTCGGTGGAGCTCCCTATGGGGCCACGAAACGTGTGAGGGGTGTGCCGACATGGGCATGCGGTGGCCCCGGAACGGTGAGGGGTGCACCGAAACGGAGGGAACTGCATGTGGGCGCTGCCTCTGGGCCTTCGGCAGAGCTCCGCATTGGCCCACGAAACGTTGTACTTGGTGGGGAGGGCAGAGGCAGGGATGGGAGGATGGGGATGAGGTGGCAGCGGGAGGAGGAACGCGGGGCGCTGTCTCTTCAAAACGAGGACCCAACACAACAAGATGGTTGGGAAAAAAACATCTACAAAACGATACCGAATTGTTGATTTGGGGAGTCCCTTTTACGTCCGTGGGCCAGACCCCCAAACCTACGATTTCTGTGAGCTGAGTTCCTGGTTCTTCTGCATCTGCTCCTGCTTACTGGCGTCGGTGTATGATGCACCCTCTAAGTGCACTACAACTGCCAAGGGCATTGAGACTACCAACTTCCCCGATCGGCGCATAGTCAGCCCTGCGTCGGTATCCTCGAAGTATGCTGGCGCGAACTGGGGATCGAAGAGGCCGAGTCCCAGGAACTCCGTCCGATTGAACATTATGCAGGCTGCGCTGATGTAGTCCACGACGTGCGAGTGCAGGTAGGGTAGATCCCAGGGCCACGAGCGACGCCCTATATTGTAGGGGTGGCCCTGCCTGAAGACTGTGCCCCCAGCCTCCATGACACGACCACTCGGGTTCACCTGCAGCGGCCCGACAATACCCGCTCCAGGGAACGACCTCATGGTGTGGTAGACCGCCGCCAGCCACCCTGGCAACGGGAACACGTCGCTGTTCATCAGGCACGCGTAGGTGCCCGACGCGAGCCTCAGGGCCACCGTGTTCGCGACTGTATACTGCATAGGCTCTGGCGCCCGCCACTTCTGTATCCTGGTGCCGAACAGGGACTGCAAGGTCTCCGCGACCCTGGCCAGCACCGTCATGTCCTGACTGCTGCCGTCGTCCAGCACCACGAACTCCGCGCTGGGCACCTCGTGCGCGGTGCGCCACGTGGCCAGCAGCGCCTTGGCGGCCATGACGGGGTTGTTGTGCAGGGTGTAGATGAAGCTGACCAGCGGAGGCGTGCTCGAGCCCCGCGGCCCGCTCCACGTCTGCCCCCCGGAGGCCGGGTAGCAGCCCTCCGTGCTGCTCTCCACGGCCGCCTCCCCCCCGAGCAGCAGTCGGTCGATGTTGTAGCCCACCCCGCCGACCTCCGCGCACGCCCGCCAGTGGCAGACGCTGTCGGCGATCTGGGGCAGCAGGCTGCGCCCTCGGCGACAGTACCCGAGGCGGGACCACACGCTCGACTCGTTCGCCAGGTTGTAGACCCTGAGCGCGGGGCACGGGACGTCCTCGGGGGAGACCGGGACCTTTCGACGGCGAGCAAGGG